TCGGTGATTACACTAACAGAAAAATATTTCTATAGTTATTGCAGATAAATTATCTGCATTTATTCTCAAAACAACGTCGCTTTGAGATTGAAAGATTAAAAAATTATGACTATAAGATTATAATAATCCTGGAATAAATTAAAATTACAAAAATACCATAATTTTCGTCTCAAAACAACGTCATATTGAGCTTACTGCAGATGACTTATCTGCAGTAACTGCAAATAAAGTGAACCCTTATAATAAATAAACCCGTCTTTATTTAGTTTGTTAATCTCTTCTTACAATATCCCATTTAATGATTTTTTTTAAAAAGGAAACTTAATTTCACATTTAAAAAACAAAAATTATAAGTGGTGTCTGATTTTTTTCAATTTCAGTTAGTATTTTTAGATATTAATTACAAAAGATGACAAATTATTTTTATTTTATTTATTGATGTCAATGTTCTATGAAGAGAATCATGAAAATAACATTTTATTGCTTTTACCATTTCTCCCATAAAAAATTTAAAAACAAAAAAAATTTAAAAATATAAAATTTTGTAATTATTAATAAAAATATAATAATAAAAATGAAAACAGAAAATATATCAAATTATCCTTCAATAGATTAATAACTATATTGAGATTACACTACACTATCAAGTTTCTAAAGGTTATTTAGATTGTACATCATAAATTTGTACAAGGGTTTTATCGACATCCTCCCTCAGTTGATGTTTCTCTCTGAAAAAGTTGTTGGCGAGTCCCCTTAAGCTTCCACAAAATAGATTTTCTTTTTCTCATTTTTGGTGAAGCAAACAGCTTCCCAGCCAATTGGTTTTTAAGGGACAGTTGGTAAAAAAGAAATTTTTTATGTCAGAGAATTATGATTTTTAAAAATATGTTAGGAAAATGAATTTTTCCGAAAATATTGCCAAAAAATTATCAAAAATCTATATGAAAATTTTCCATGTCATTTCAATTTTTTTTCTTCTGAGAATCTGATTTTTTTTTTTTAATTTTTTTAAAATACTTATACCAAACTTGATAATTAAAATACCAATACCATTATCCTGGGCATCCAAACAATTTCTTTGTACCTAACGCCCCTAATTTAATATTTTGAAGGTCTATAAAGAGTTTGCCTCGTGCAATGCTACAACCGTTTCCTACTTTTGTAAATTTTATTTTAATATATCAAATTGGAATATACTTCTTTTGAGTGATTTAATCTTTTAATTTATTTTTTTAAATAATGACATATGTCATTCTTATAAGTTACAAACGTGTCAATTGAGTCGACCCGACATAAACACTAAAACACAAATAAGAATGTTAGAAAGATATAAAATTATCAATGTAACATCACGTAATAATTTAAACTTTTGCGTTGAAATGATTCTTTAGATGGTTTCAGAGCCATCACCCCATTATATTAATAAAAAGTAATTGAAAACCTCCAAGGGTAGCTAAGTTGGCAACTGAGCTCCCAAGGATTTGCTTGAGTCAGGGGTTCAAACCCTGCCTCAAGCAAATTCTTGGAAAATCTTTGGGGGCCAGATGACATGTCTCTCTCCTCGAATATGAGATTAGTCTCATCCTTCCTCGGGTAGCGAAGCTTAATGCACCAGCTGTTCCAATGAGGGGCTAGCCTTCAGGGCCGTACCCCGAGGGCAAGGTGACCGGAGGAGGTTGAATGGGGATACCTCCAGGTTAATACTAAAAATAAAAAGTAATTGAATATTGTGGACTCACTTAGCATAGGTAGGTTGCATATGATGCATAATCCACCCTTCATGCCAAATGAGCTCTTGTGTGAAGGGATGTGTTAAAAAAATATAAAATCATTAATGTTGCCTCACCCAATAGCTTAAACTTTTGGGTTGAAATAATTGTTTAGAACAAATATATTCAACACAAACATGACACGAATTTGAAGATCCACTTATTTAATTTGCGAATTAACACGACATGACATGAACAACCTTCGAATTCATAGTATGTCACTTATTATGCAGATTGACACAATACGACATAAAAACCTATAAACCCCAAACTATGTTACTTATTATGGGAGGTGACACAACACGATAAGACACAAATAATCCATTTACGGCACGACACAAATAATCTATTTACGACACGACACGAATAACTTGTAAGAACATTAATATGAGTAAATTTTGGATTTGCAGGTTGATAAGTGATATGACACAAAAAAATTTAGGTTAATTTTTACCAACACGAAGTCACAACACGAATTTAAAAATGGGTTGACCCTAACATGTGTTGTGTTCATGTTGTGTCAATGAATCACGTTGAAAATTGTCTCCCCTACATTCTTGATTCATCTTATTTTAAATGTAAAATTTTAATTTTAAATATTTTAATTAATTATGCATATTGTTTTTTCGTAATTTCAATTGTTTATAACTTATATTTTTAAGATTATACCTAAATTAATGTTAATTATGTACATTTTAAATTTTACTTAAATTTAAGTTACCCATATATTAAAATCAGTGGGGTCAAGTAAATATTAATAAAAAATGGGTTCGTATTTACTACAGTCAATATAGATAAGTTATTTACATTGAGCTCAAAGCCATGTCATTTTGGGACGAAAATCAAGGTATTTTTGTAATTATAATTTTTTAAGGGTTATAATGGTTTTTCTCATTATAATTTTTTAAATTTTCAACCGAAAATGACGTCACTTTAATGAGTAAATATAGATAACTTATCTACATTAAATATAGAAATATAAAAGCCATAAAAAGTATATACAAAATTTTAAAGGAAAAATATTTTCTCATGTTATAGGAAAATTATTTTCTCCTACTAGTAACTATTCAATTTTTGTGTAATATTTTCTTTTATTTTTTTTATTTTTAATAGATATAGAGCCACATAAGATGTGTCTATAGTATGAGAAAATTTTATCCTACTTCAAAATTGAAACCCAATTTTAAAATAATCATACCGTATGAAATTTTAAGATAAGAGAATCTATTTTCTTATATTCTTTATTTGTTTTAGCAAAATTAATAATATCTCGATGGCTGGTCTTGGAATATATTATTAAGCTAATATTGGAACGTGTTTTTTTTTTTTGTTTTTTTTTTTTTGGTGGAAACTAATATTGGAACGTGTTGTCTTGATGGCAGACTGACCCATTCACCAAATTTAAGTTTCATGAAAGACTCAAATTTGATGAATATTTGACAGGAATATGAAGAAATTAAGACCTAACTAGAAGAAGATAGGACTTTGACAAGAAATCCTAGACTCGCATTGCATGACCCTACCCGCAGTTTGGAATATTGATTTTTGAGTAAATATTTTTAAGTCCCTGAGATAAAATATAGTTATCATTTTAGTCTCTTGTATAAAAAAAAATAAGTCTCGAAATTTTTTAGAAATTCAAAGTTGACTTATTTAGTTAAAATCGTGATCCTCACAAATTCAAAAAAGACCCATATTAATTTCTTAAAGCGACTAAAATAAGTTCATTTTAAATTTTATAGGAACCAGAAAATTAATTTTTTTTGTAAGAGACTAAAATAAGTACCTTATTTTTGTTGTTAGGGAAAAAAAATGTATTTACTTTTGATTTTTTTTTAATAATAGGAATTTTGAGTCTATTACCATCCATTCAATGCCCAATCCGCAATCAAACCCCCATCATTCACCGTTGGTTGGCCGTCAACTGCAGCAGCAGACGCTGATTCGTTGATTCCATTTCCCTCCCTACCTCCTCCCCCTCTCTTTCTCTTTTTTTTTCTTCTCATTTTTTCTAACTTTCGGCCAAAAAAGAAAAAGGGTTGATTGGCCACCACTGCCTATTCTTTAGAGATAATTTTGTAAAATTTATTCTCTTCCCACCATTCGTTTATATACTATTCTGGAAAAATTCACTTTACTCCAATATTCTTTTGGCATTAAACTATAGTAATTTTAATTCTATTTTAGTATCCTCTACAAAAAAGAAAAAGAAAAAGTAAAGAGTTAGAAAAAATGAGAAGGTAAGCACCAATAGAGTGACTTCAAGAAGTAGGACTACTTCAATGCGAATGTGTTGGATTCAATTATTGTTACTAATATATTAATTATGGATTTAATATTTGCGAATACAGTTAATTTACATTCATTTTCAAAACAATATCTTGAGTTGAAAGATTAAAAAATTATAATGATAAAGATTATTATAATCTTAAAATAAATTAGAGAAAAGTTCACCAATGCCCCTATGGTTTACTCCAGAATCACTTATGTCCCCGTGGTTTTTTTTCGATCACATATGCCCCCGTGCTTTGTAAAAACTAAGAAACCACAAGGGTATATGTAATAAAAAAAAACATAACTTTTTACAAATCACAGGGGCATATGTGATAAGAAAAAAACCACAGGGGCATAAGTGATTATGGAGTAAAGCACAGGGGTATTGGTGAACTTTTTCCAATAAATTATAATTACAAAAATACTTTAATTTTTGTCCCAAAACGACGTTATTTTAAACTCAATACAAATAATTTATTTGTATTCACCGCAGAAAAAACAAATTCATTAATTATATTATTATAATTGTTTATTAAGTCTTGTGAGTTGCGATATTTCTTGATTTTAGAATAGAGTATTTTTTTTCTTAAACTTTTTAAAAGGGAAGATAATTTGAAGCTGGGATTCAAATTGGAGATAATTTTGTGCATTAATTGAAGGATTGGAGATAATATCCTTTTGAAATGATAAAGGTCCCAAAATTTGGTAATTTACCAGTATTTGAAAAAGATGGTCAAATTGGTCAGGGGGCTAATTAATCGCATGTGAAATGTGACGTGTATTTTCCGTTGGGCAGTTGAAGTGCGGTGAGAGAGGTAAAAGCTATATTTAAAAGAGAAGAGGAAACGACGTTTGTAAAATCGGAATTTCCCAAAGAGCAAAAACAACGTTTGCTATTACCAGGTTTTGTGTCTCTCTGTCTGTGTGCTCCCAATCACATTGGGGGCGACGTTGCCGCTCCTGGTTTCATTCATTTCCTTCTCAGACTTGTTTGTTCCCCTGTCCTTTTCAATTCTAAACTATCATCATCATCATTCAGAAACCAAACCACTTGAATTACCGTTACTTTTCAAAAGTTTCAATAAATTAATATTATAAATAAATAAAAAACCCACCACTGTCTTCAGAAAAAGAAAACCAAAAAAGGGGACCATTTTTTCAACTGGGTCTGAGAGGATTGTGAGGAATTGCGCAAATATATTGTTATTGTTATTGTTATCGTTATCATTATAAAAAGGGGTTTGGACGTAGAATGAGAGCGGATAGTAGGTGGGCTAAGAAGATGGGAAGGATTTCAAGGATTGGGAGTTTTGCAATTTCTTCTTCCATTAACGAAAATCAACAACAACCTTGCATTACCTGCACCACTTTTAACATTCTCGCTCCCATATACAAGCGCATCAACGATGAGGTTCTTCTTCTCCTCCTCCTCCTCCTTTCTCTTTTATTTTTATTTTTCATAGTGATTTCCTTAAAAGGGTATTCTCAAATTTAATGCTTTTTTTGTGTCTTGTGATTGATTGAAAACAGGACCCGAGTTGCCGAGAGAGTGACTATAGAGCGTATTGGTTGGCCAGGAATCATAGGATATTGGATTGGCTGTTACATGAGAGGTCTTCCATTATCTGTCTTCAGGTTTGTGTGTGTGTGTGTGTGTGTGTTCATGATTACCTTCATAAAAATATCCTACTATATCCTATGCCTTTCTCACCCCTCTAACCTTTGTTTGTGCTGAAATTGATTGGAGTGACATGCGAGATTCTATTCTAATATGTTGGGTTTGTGCAGGAGTTTTGGGTTGGAAACGAAGAGCTTGTTAATTTGTATGAGAAGAGACTTGGGGATGCTGGTTATGTTAGTTTCAAGCTTGGAAGGACTAACAACCGTGGGGATGGTATGCACATTCTCCCTCAATTGGAAAAACAAAATACCCCTTTGGATTATTAGCTTTGTCAGAATTTCGTCATCTTCATTCTTACAAATAAATATCAATTACAGAATTTAAGTGGGCAATTACATTTTTTCCCATTTTACTTTGAGGCACCAATTCAATCTCCATACCACTGTTATTGAAACTTACATTAAAATTATATTTGCAATTTTGATGAATTGATCTATTGAATTTGGCAAAGGAGAACACCACATGACTGGTTTCCAGAATATTTATTGAGGGAAGGGACAGACATCTAGAATTGTTTAACACCACATGACTGGTTTCCAGAATATTTATTGAGGGAAGGAACAGACATCTAAAATTGTTTTTATACAGGAAAAACATGTTTCCTTTTTTCTTCAAATAAATTTTCTTGCGAATGAAATTTTCAGTGGATTAAATGCTAGTGGGGCTGGGCTCTCTCCTGATGTTATTTTCCATATGCATAGTTTTGTTTTGGAACTGCTGCTTGTTGAGGATTTATGTACAAAATACAAATTCTCATATGGCGTTTCCCCTGGAGTCTACAGGTCTTCTGATAGCAGTCCAAAAGGAATACTTTAATATTCTTAATTATAAGGAGTTGCACTTCAATGACTGTGGTGATCGTGTAGCTCAGTTGTTACATGTTGAACTAGCTTTTCCATTTTCACAGTGGCGAAACGGTGATATTAGGCAGGAAATTCTGATTGTTAACACACACCTGCTATTTCCTCATGATTCAACTCTATCCCTTGTTCGGCTGCAGCAGGTATCTAAGCATTTAAACGTGGTTCCTAAGCACTTACCAATTACTAGGCTTGGTGTTTCACTTAGATTGACATTCCTTAAAATATTCTTTTCTGCAGGTCTACAAGATACTTCAATATGTAGAATCTTATCAGAACGATTTCCAACTCAAGCCCGCGCCAATCATGCTATGCGGGTAAACATCAAATGCACTTCCATGTACTTTTTTTATTTGAAACGTTTGAATAGTGTTTTATTCACAAAATTTTTGTTTCTCAGTGACTGGAATGGAAGCAAACGTGGACATGTTTACAAGTTCCTGAGGTCTCAGGGTTTTGTATCATCTTATGATACAGCACATCAGTACACTGATGCAGATGCTGATAAGGTCATATATTTAACATTGGCTTAAAATTTTTTCTGCTGGACAATATACCAATTACTTATATTTATTTAACATTGTGTCAGTGCAGTGGGTTAGCCACCGCAATCATCGGGGAAATATATGTGCTGTTGATTTTATTTGGCTTCTAAATCCTGACAAGTATCGAAAACTACTGAAAGCAAGTTGGAGTGAAGCAGTATTTGGCATGTTCAAGGTAATCATAAAATATTAGGACCTATATTCAGTTATTAAGCGTATTATTTTTACCATCTTTGCAAGGATTTTTAACTTGTGTATCTCTATACCATAGTTCTTTCCTATAGATTTAACATCATTTTCCGTTTAGCAAAAGGAGAATCGGACACTTAATGAGGCAAAGTTTTAAATGTTGGACATGGATCCTGAATTTTTAGTTATCATTTTCCTAAAAAATCAGTACACCTGATTGCTGTATTTGATAAACTTATTAAAAGATAGTGTCAGCTACTTGTATACTCTTGGCTAGAGTTTGCTAGTAAAGAATCAGTATTGCATAACGTTAACACTTGTTGTATGACTCATGTCAGAGAGGAGATTACTTCATTTATTATTTAAATTTAAATGGATTTTGTTAATATCTCTTGTTCTTTGGTGTATTATTTTATTGTCTTCTGCTTGGCATTGTTACTGTACTCCTCCTCTGGCAAATGTCAATAATGTTAGCAGAAAGTCTGTTGTTGTCATGCTTTTTCATGCTTCCATTTCTGACTTGTGATTGTATCTATAAAGCTTCTTCTAAGCTACCATTATTGTGAATGTGAAAAACATGTTATTTTATCAAGTCAAAGCTAGCACCATTCCGTTTTTATGGGACAGAATTATCATTGACAACAAATCTCTCCATTTTCAGTATTTACTTCGCAGAGCTTCACTGACAGAAAGTGATGCATTTGCCTTTCTAAAGGCCGATAATGAAGATTGTATTACCTATTCTGGTTTCTGTGAAGCACTTCGACAGGTATGGTGCAGTATTAACCTTAGGATGAGTACTTTACTTTAAAAGCTTGGTTAATGCATGTGCTTGTCTTAGAAATCCTGGTGTTTATAAGGGTTTTTTCATTCTGTGCAGCTGGATTTAATTGGTCATTGCCATGGGTTAAGTGATGAAGAGACGAAGGACTTGTGGGTCCAAGCAGATATAGATGGAAACGGTGTTCTTGATTATAAAGAATTTCTGGTAAAGTATTTCACATAAAATTAGCCCTTACATTAATATCACACAAGAATACTCCGGAGGGTTGAATTTTTTTTTGGGGTAAAAATTGTATTTATGTAACTAATGACTAGTGGTTGAGAGTGTAACCCTGAAATCTAAATACTTTTCTCCACAAGCCATATAGTAATGCAGTGAAGACATCAATATTATATGGAATTAGTCTATAATGATAATAAGTATTGTAGTTTCCGTATCATTAGACTTAAACAGGTGAACTAAGGAGTTCTATCATTTGTAATTCATAGAAACTATTGCTGGCATATTTGTCATTTGATCAGGAGTGAGTGATCCAACAAGAACAATTTAACCTAGATAGACATAATTAAAAAAATGTCGTTTCGTGAAGCAAAACTTTTCTGTAAGGAGTAGGTGTTGAAGTTACTTTCTGATTTGTGTTTGTTTTGAGCAATGGCTTTGTTCAATCCATGTAGCTATTAACCCTTCCTAATAAGATAATGCAGCTGGTTTGTTATTGTTGTATAATGGGCAATGAAATTCATTTTTTATTTTTTAGCTGCTTTCTCCCAAGTTTGTTGTCTAAGTGTCTTGTGATTATGCGGTTGCAGCAGCAAATCTGGAATTCAACAAACTATGATCAGAGAGATGACAACAAGAATGGGGAGCAGTACCATGTTCAGGAGCAAACAATTGGTTTTAGTGTAAAAAATGCAGTTCTGTTTCCTCCAGAGGTGGAGAAAGGTAGATGGCCTGAAGACTACTCCCTTTCTGATCATGCACGACTCACTGTAGTCTTCTCGCCAATAAGAATGCCATGCTCCCAGATGATTTGCTAACCATAGTTTTTAGAATAAGACTTTCTGTACATAATTGTCACAGTAAAGAATGGGTGAAGCAGTGGAACGGGTAAGGAAAGATACAAGAGTTCTTTCCTGGGGAGATTTTAAAACAAGCCCTGTGTTGTGATTACTGCACCATCATTGGCCACTCTTGACAAGGCATAGCACAAGCAAAACTCAAGCTAATACCATTCCAGCATTCTCATACATATTACTTGCATTGCTGATGACATTTGCAGTATAAGCAACACTCGTCATCCAGTTTGTTTTCCCCTTTTATTCTTCACTGGTGAAAGAATAGATAAAAGGAAACAAAAAAGAAGAATGATCTGTGTATATGTTGTATAGGCTCTTAGGCATTAAACCATTTTGTAGCTTGGTGAGATGCACCCTCTAGCTAGAGCTTCATGTAATAGAGGAGAGTTCATACACAATGTATCTTGTAACATTTTTCGCTCAGGATAGAATCGTGACAAATTCAAATTGTACATATGCTCGATAATTGAACTAGTTTCTCTGGTAATAACCCACATCCCCCCTTCCCAAAAAAAAAAAAAAACATTGTTAGGAAAATTCACCATGTAACAAAAAAAAATGCACTATCATCTTATGCAATGAAATCTATGTTCTGAATCTTAGAATCGAAAACAGAGAAAGAACAACTTATCTACATTCACTTTAGATAACTTATCTATATTAATCTTAGAATCAATAATTTTAAAATTTTTAAATCCAAAACGACGTCGTATCCAAAACGACGTCGTTTTGGGATTGAATGTAGATAATTTATTTATATTCACTTTAGAAACATTAAATCCATTATTAAAGGGTTCTCTTTTTCTACGGGTCAATATAGATAACTTATCTACAGTTAGCCCAAAACGACGTCGTTTTGGGGCAGAAATCAATGTATTTTTATAATAATAATTTATTTCAAAGTTATAATAGTCTTTTTCATTATAGTTTACATCTATTGGAGTTAATGAGACATAATTGAAAACTAGGAAAGATTAAAATAACGTACTAAATGAATTTAAGAAGGATGTTCTTCTTTTTCTAGGCTAGCAACGGGTGAAAAAACCAACTCAAAACAAGAAAAGAAAACCAACAAGCAATTGCACCCAAGGTCGCATGGCAACACGGCCCATTTCAAGAAGGATGTCACTAATCTTCATGCCGCAATACTACCACGAGGATATTACGCTGAACAATAGATTGTCATTTTAACCTTGACATTAGGACCCATTGAGAAATCCGAATCCTATTATTAGATTTGAATCCACCATCAATACCTAGATTTTTGTGACAAAATCTCGTTTCTTTTTCTTGTGGAATAGTAACTTGTAGAATCAATTTGTCAGTTATTCTAACAATCGCTATTCATTGACTTTTTATTTTGGGTAACAACCATAACTGACCTTAAAACAATATAAGATTGGGAATTACTAATATCTACGAAACTCTTGACAAATGACTTTGCATGTTATTTATACCATGGTTAATTTCATCTTTTGTTTGCAACATTTCGGTGGTTGAGAAAATAAAGAGAAGTGGGTGATATGGCATACACCAAGTAGTTCTAGCCATATTTATGAAAAACCTCTTGTTGCTCTTACGTAATTTCCTTCCATACCCACTACACTCAAGGGGGAAAAAAAAGAAAAAAGAAAAAGAATGTGCAGAGAGAGTTGCTTCTAACTTCCCCATCAAATTTCTTGGTATTTATGCAACTAAAAATTTGTGTGCACACACTGTTTATTCAATAAAATCCTCACACATAAGATTTGGAAAGTTAAAATGAAAAAAAGATACACAAAGAAATTATGTGAATAATATGCACTGTTCCCAAAAGCGTAGGACCATAGTGTTATTTAATAACTTGCGTAAGAGTATTTAAAGAGAACGTACGAGTGTAAGTTTGTGCAATTATCATTATTCCAATTAAGATTTTGAAATTTGAATGTGCTGCACCCATCCTTTTCCTGTAATTTATATAAAAAAAAAATGATGGGGGGCGTTTGATTGCAGGCAATTTTGGAGATTTTAAAAGAAAAAAGTATACAAAGATGTCGTAATTTGTTGCAGCCAGGTATGTAAAACCTTGATTTGGACAACATAAATTTGCAAGCTGGTATATGATAATTTATAACTGAATCTAAAATCAACTCCTAAAAATCCAGAATTCTAAATAAGTATCACATGGAACATGAAATAAATGATCAGGTTATCAAGCCAAGTGTTAGAATATGTTGGACAATATTCTTTCGCAAGTAAAAGAGGTTGCCCAATGTGATGATCTTTCAGCCACAAATTTTTGATATTAAGCTTCAGCCTTGTGTCAATCATACAAATATACAATTCATGCTTTAGTAACCTTTATTAAAGAGTATTGTTAAAGTTAGATTCTCTTAGACCCTTTAATTTTTATTAAAACAAGTTCAAGAGTTTTATTTTTTTTTCCTACCCTTTTTCCTCAGAAATCGCAAAGGATTTAAAAAGGAAGTAAAAGTACCCTGAAACTTGAATATTTTGTAAGGTTCTTTCCCAATCCTATAAAAAGCATAAAGTTGTTATTTCCTTTTACTTTTAGTGAAAAGAATAAGGTTGTATATTTTCTTATGTTGTAGGATAGTAGGAGAGAAAAAAAGTAGAGATAAGTTAAATGTGGGTCCCACATTTTAAATTAAAAAAAAAAAAAGAAAATTAATTGGCACGTAAAACGAATTTGTGTAGGAAAAAATTCTTATCTCATGTAGAAGGAGATAATGATTTCCCAAAGAATAATACATATACACATCTAAATAGAAGAAATCCTAAAAGGTCTGTAGTGGGATTGCCTTGCAATGCTACTATCCTCCCTTGTTTACTGCCAGATTCATTGCATGTTTGCGGTGGCGATCCAGGAATTATTATGACGGGGTGGAAAAAATTATATTAACTCATCTATTTAATAACTATTGACATTCCAATTTATTTTGGCTAATGTTTCAACATTAAACCAGAATTCAATTAATTAGCTATTAAATTTATTGTTGAATCACAAATAAACTGAATAATAATCAAACTAAAATATAACTGATTCATGATTCAGAGTCCGATTCAAATGTACGGGTCAAAAGTTTCATTTTTCACTTCAATACTTCTCTCCTTATATTTCTTTAACTTGAAAAATCTCCATTGGTTGATAGCTACAACATCATGTAATCATTCACAATCCTATTACTTTTGCACAATGTAAAGCTTGTCCTAACAAGTTATATACTTAACTAAATACTGTTTATATATTGTCTCATTGTGTGTACTTTTCTAATCTGGTACTGCGACCTGCCCAGGAATTGATTTTTCTATATGCAAAATTTTAAATATATACCTTTAAGGGGGACAGGGGCCACCCCTAGCCCCATGTAGGCCGCTGCATGTTTGACTCACAAATGATATAAAACTTGGCATTTAAACCAAGTGTTTTATAAAAGTTATGTTGTAGGAAAAATGATTGTGTAATATTATAGAGATTCGTTTTGCGTACTGTAATTTTCTTTTTTCTTCAAAAAGTGTGGAGCCCACAAAATGTTGTGAGTGTAGGAAAGTTTGTTGTGTCATGTTAAATTACAAATACAAACCCCTTAAATCAACTTCAAATATGACTTGCTAACCCATAAAAGCAAGGGAGTCATCTTCTCTCTTAAATAAGTTGGACTTTGGGATGGTTAATAAGTATAAAATTCATATTCCTTTTACAGAACTATTTCTCGTTAAGCCTCAACTACTACCAAGTGTAAGGTGAGGATAATTCTTATAAATATTTTTATTTTTACATATTTATAAATAGACTGTTGTTTGGAAATTTCTTTCTCTAGGAATTATACGAATTTTTTTTTTTACAAATTTGCATTTTTATGACTAATGAATTGTTTAATCTTGTCACAGATAGGTTAGAATTGATTTTCCGTCATTTAAATGAGATGTCAATAATTTATGAGTGCTTTAATAGTCGAAGCTTTAGCTTTAATTAACTTCCCCTTTTTTGTGGTAAGAGGTTTCCTACTTCTCTTTTTCCTAGTCTTTGCCTTTCTGGCACGTGAGGTAAGATGCTATCATGCTTATAATTGCCGCATATTATGCATACTGCAAGATATAAATATATTTATGCATTCAGAAGCTATATTTTTTTGGGTAAAAATCAGAATCTATCCCGACATTCACGTACCAAATTCAAGAGGGTTTTGAAGTTCACTTTAAGTGTGAAGAATCTATGTTGTCAGCGAAGACACAGGTTAGAGAAATATTTTTTTTATGCAAACAACATAAGCACATAGAGAAGAATAAGATAAAGCTAATCTATAAGTAAAGCTTTTTTTGAAACAGACCAAAAACAAAAACAAGCACTAAGAAATGGGGATAAAACTTGGATATATGGCTTCCATTTATAAACATCAAGCTTCTTCGCTTTCCAAAATATGCGTAATTAGCTGGTCGCCAACATATATACCACCATGGTCATTGTTATATCAGGACTTGCTAGAGGGACATAAAGAATAAAAAAATATGATGATGTTAATGGTCACGCGTAAAAATGAAACAAAAAATAATAGCTAACGGATATGACAGAAGTGTTAACACTAGCAGCTAAATAATTTTTCATTATCAAAGAGAATAATACAATTGTATTTTTCTATTATAATATGGAATAAATTATTCTATCTACCTTACATACTCATCTTTAATACCAATGATCATAGTCTCAAGAGGAAATAGAAAGAGTAAGATTCTGATCCAATAATATTAAAAATGAGTAGCTAATTAAAGATGGGTAAAAAAAAATGTAGTTAGAATATTCTATGTTACATTAGGAGAATTAAAGGTACAACTCCATAGCAGTTACATTAGGAGCATTAGGAGTAGCTTTTATTAGGAGAATTGAAGTGGCAATTGTTAGCCATTGACGTGTCATTGAATTAGGCAGGAAACGGTTTAGGAGTTTGGGGTCCATGTATTAAAGGCATAACTGTAACCGATGAGAATTCATTCAAGAATTAATCAGAAACATTATTCTTTTGTTCTTCTCTGTTCTTGCTCCGTTGTGAGGGTTTGCGTCCCTTAACATTGGTGCTTTCATCATTGTGGACTTGCCATTTTCTACAAAATCCATGCTTTCTTCTTGTTGAACTCATTTTCGTTCTTCAAGATGCGGGATGAATTTAGGGCTTCTCAACCCCATATTTCAACTTCACCTTCCATTGCAACACTAGTGGATAATCTCGCTGTCGCCATTACAAACCTTGCACGATGTAGCACAGAGATGTATGCTGATTTTGCAAGTTTTAGGAACGAGATGCGCGCCCACTTCGCCAAGATTAAAGCTAATTTCGCAAAGGTTAGTACCCTAGCTTCTACAATGAGTTTCGATGGCAGTGTCCCAGTTTCGGAAGATGCTATTAGTGTTGATGTTTCCGGTTCTGGAGTCAATCAAGAAATTCAAGAGATGGTTGCTGTG